CACGCATTGCCACAAGTTCTCCCTGGGGGAAACACCATCCCTTTGAGAATCACCCAAACCCAAGAGGTGCAAATAAATATGCCCAGTGTAGGAGAGGAAAATAATCACATAGCACAGAGTCCGGTGTGTGTGTGTGTGTGTGTGTGTGTGTGTGTGTGTGTGTGTGTGTGAAAACTGATATAGAGCTCTTCAAGGAGGTAACACTCATTTATATTTATAATCCCTAAATATTTATAACGATTCCAAAACAACAACAACAACAAAACTTTCCCATTGCTCTTCTGGTCCTCTCACTTCCCCAGATCTTGTTCCCTCATTCTTCTTTCCCAGACAGTTCTTCTCCTTCTATCCTCTGGCCTTTCAACCAGCGATCCTCCTAGAAATGACCTGAAGTCACAGGAATGTCCCTTCCTTTCCCATTGCTGTTATGCTGGGAACCATGTCGGCCACCTTCCTAAGTACCCAGCCATGAGGAAAAGGAGAAAGGAGGAGATGACACTGAGAATAGTTCCCTTTCAGTTGAATCAAACTTTATTATGGGCACATCTGAATAATCAAGGGGTGTCCACAGTGATGGTGATCTAAAAGGTAAAGGTATGTCTGCTTCTACTGTGGCCCGTCAGCTTTCTATCTTTCACCTCCCTGGAGCCATGGACTCTATCTCCTCTTCAGGCACTTCCTGTGCTCAGTAGCTCAGCACCTTTGAACAGAAGGTGTCTCCACAAAGGGCACTGCACGTCACACTGCCTGCTCTTCATGACCTTTGCACTCCAAGAGGCAGAGGCAGAAACGGAGGAAGGGAGGGAAAGATCTCTGACTGGGAGTTCCCAGCACGGTTAGTGACGCAGAAGTCGGTTCCAAAGCCAGAGAAGAGGTGGGGCAGGAACAGGGCATGACCCTGGGAAGTCTGGGACTAGCAGAACGAGGCAGCAGACTATAATGTAGAAATTAGACACTAAAGAAAAAATAATAACAAATGCTCAAAGCATTGGTTGGTAACTTAACGCCTGCTTGTCTTTTCCCCCATTCCATCTTCAATTCCTGGAGGAAAGAGATCTTGCCTCCCTTGATCCTGTATCTGAGTCCTGCCCAGCACCAATCTCCAGTCTCTTCTGCCATCTTTTATTTTCTCCAGCTGGCAAAGCTCTTTTCTATTTTTTTCACTCAGTATCATTATTTTTTTTAGAGGTTTTTGCTATAGTGCGCATGCACTCACCAGAAAGACAGAGACAGAGAGACAGAAAGCAAGAAATCACCCCCCCCAGGGGGGATGGCCACACCACAATCCCTTCTCCTCCATTTTCCTCTCGGGATCTTGGGCATGCACGCACACGTGCCCAGCATGAGTTTAAGACACCAGGTCCGGGACTCGAACCATGGTCAACTACATGGGAGTCCAGCGACATAGCCATTACGCCAACTACTGGTACCTCATTCAGTATGTTTGATTCAACATTTACTGTGACTTTTCCCAAAGGCAATGGTTATCTTTTGTTGCACCTTTAAAACATCACATATGGACCTTAGAAATCACCTGGAATTTTACTTATGGAGCCGGAAAACTCTTATTCACAAGATCTTATTCACAAGTCTGCTGCAAATGTTCCTTCTTCAGAGATATAGTTACTGCCCCCAAATTTTCAGATAACCTTATGGTGGCTTGCTGACTCAAAGCAGCTGAATTTGGAAAAAGTTCCATATTGTTTCCTTCAGGGATCAACTCTTATTTCTGAATTGCGGTTTAAGGATTTACAGTCATGTTCACATTGCTAAGGTTTTTCTCTAAGGTAAGTTCTTTGATGTACGGTGAGTTCTGAATTCTGGTAAAAAAGTTTCCTTAACTTTTTTTTACATTTCTAAGAGCTCTGATCTGTGAGTTCTGTGGTACACAGTAAGATCTGGGAAATGTAGTAAAATGTTCTGCAAGAAGTCACAACCTGGGGGACCAGCAGTTGGCATAATGACTATGTCGCTGGACTCCCACGTAGTCGACCACAGATCGAGTCTCGGACCCGGTGGCTTAAACTCACGCCGGGCACGTGTGCGTGCGTGCCCAAGATCCTGCGAGGAGAATGGAGGAGAAGGGATCGCAGCGTGGCCATCCCTCCTGGGGGGCAATTTCTTGCTTTCTGTCTCTCTGTCTGTCTCTGTCTTTCTGGCGATCGCAGGCACCCTGTAGGAAAAACCTCTCAAAAAAAAAAAGTCACAACTTGTAACCAGCAGGTGGCATACTGGTCACATCACTGGACTTCCACGTAGTCGACCATGGATCGAGTCCTGGACCTAAAGCTCATGCCGGGCGTGTTTGTGTGCATGCCCCAAATCCTGAGAGAACACAGGAGAAGGGATTGTGTTGTGGCCATCCCCCCGGGGGTGATTTCTTGCTTTCATCTGTCTCTATGGCAAGCACACATGCCCCATAGCAAAAAATCTCTCTTCAAAAAAAAGAGAGAGAGAGAACTCTTTCTATTTTGAAGCTTAGCATAAACTAAGGACATTCTGTCTGGAACACTCTCTTTTCAAATAATGGACTCTCTCATCCTTTAATTCACAGCTGAAATGTTAGCTCCTTAAACGTTAGAGCTTTATCTCCATTTATAGACACACACACACACACACACACACACACACACAGGTTAGTCTCTTGTAACATCCTGTTTATCTTCTTTATAGCCCCTATGACAATTTGTAATTATTATTTGTTTGTTCCTTATATAGAAATTCATTCTAGGGGGAAGTTCTAGAAGAAAATACATATCCACCTTGCTCACTCACTATTTAGTCCCACAATTAGCGCATGCAAGGCACTGAATAAAACTTAAAAGAAGAAAAAAAGTAATACATACAATCAAGGTTTAGTAAAACAATATAGAATTTTAATTCTATGTTATACATAAATTTATCATACAATAAAGGTGGCATCTTGGGATAGTAAAGGAAAGCCAAATGACGCAATATCTACGACTGACTGAATAACTAAAACTAAGCTGAAGTCTTTCCTTCCTTAATCTATAGCAAAATTAATTCCAAGTGGATCAAAAATGTAACCTTGAAAAAAATGAAGCTGTTAAAAGAACTTGAAGAAAATAAACAAGAACATTTAAGCATCTTACTGCAGAAAATTGTTTTCTAAGCAAGTCAAAGAAAAACAAATTGATATATTTGAATACATAAAAAATTAACATTTTCTTCACACACATACACACTTAAAACAGAAATAGAAACAAAAGACGAACAACTAACTTAGAAAAAATGTGTTACACTTGATTAATGCCTAGATTTTATAATATAAAGTGTTCACAAATAAAAATGAAAGAAAAATAGGACCAGCTCCATGGCACAGTGGAAGAACACTGCTCTAGAGAAGTCAGATCCCACCTGGCGATTGAGGTGAATCTTCAACCTGTCTGGGCTTGCATGTGAGTGCCCAGATCTGACAGGCTGGAGGCCTGGAGGAAGGGGATCATAGTATGACCAGACTCTGAAAGGTGCTCCTCTGAAAGGTACTCCTCTCTTCCTCTCTCTCTCTCTCTCTCTCTCATGTGTGTATACGCTGGCCTATCATGAATAGAGAAAACAAAAATTAAAGAATAGACGTGAACAACTAAAACCACAGAAAATTTCACAAAAAAAGTAGGATATACAATTTTAAGGCTAGTGAATGAAATGTAAATTAAATAATCATTTTTGAAATTGGCAGCAATGGGGCCAGTTGGTGGCCATGATGGTTAAGATGGCTGGATCCCACATGGCTGACTACTCAATCAAAATCCCGGACCCAGAGACTTGAAAAACATGCTGGGTGCTTGCGTGTGTGTGTCCAAAATCCCTAGAGGAGAATGAAGAAGGGATTATGGCATGGTCATCCCCCTCGGGGTATGCTTTCTCACTTCCCCTCTCTCTCTGGCAAGTGCACACTCCCTATTACAAATTTTAAAAGAAAGAGAGAGAGAGAGGGAGGGCGGGCGGAATGCAGGCAGGCAAAATTTAAAACATGTGATATTGTTTGTGGTAGCCAGTATGTGGGGAGATGAGCACCACCAGATTGTTGTAGGGAGGTATTATGCTTTTTGTCTTTTGAAGGTAAGCCTCACAGACCATCTAGCTTTCGGTGGTCCAGCATTTTATATCTGTATGGAGGACAACTTGGCGACATCTGTCAGAATTTTAAATGCATATACTTTTTTGGGCTGGAAGTTTTATTCTGTACAAACGCATATACGTACACATAGCAAAGGTGTATATAGGAAGATATACATGCAAAAGATCAAAAACAACTTCCGTGGGCCATCAGTGGTTTGGTCCATACCTATGAAGGATTACCATGAGACCTCTGGGGGGAAACGTGCTGAGATCACGTATCTCTATAGTATATAAAACATACAAGGCATGGAACAGGATTTGCACAAACCTAGCTGTTAAGGAAAAAGGCAGACAGATAAAGAGAGAGACAGGTAAATAGAGAGATGAAAGACATGGCTGTTAGGCATAGACCATTTCTACAAGGACTCACAGGAAACCTCAGGGCACCTTTTAGTATCGTTAACAACAACAACAAAAAAATCTGCCCAGATTACTCTTTATATTTAAAAACCAATTCATTGTAAAAATGACAATCTGTATAACACAGTGTAACCTTCCAAAAAATCCTCTATAATAATAATAGTGATGTTAGTAAACAAGAATTTTGGTTAATGTTTTTCTTATTAAAAGATATAAAGTATATAACGAACACTCAAAATACAAAAGAATCATTCAAGTAAAGCAGGTAAACTCTTTAGTTAAGACTCAGTTACTCAACTTAAAAAGCCTACAATGTGTTTATTGTTTATTTATTTAAATATTTTACTTGAAAAGACCAGCCAGGGCAGCTTAGGCAGTTTAAGCTAGCTGGTCACTATCTACTCCCTACCCATCCCCAACAACGTATTCAAATTCAATACCAAAAGTTACTTATTAAACTCCAGAGATAGTATACCCTGGGAAAGCCATTATAAACTTTGCCTGCAGGAGGACTGATCCCTTCATGAAATACAGAACAACCACCTTAGAAAAGCGAAAATGGGAAATCGTCATGTAAGTATTCACGCCTTTTGAGACCAATTTTCGTTTCAGTTAGCATGTGGAGAAATTTCAACTAGGAAATCATGAGCGATGCTTTTATACTTTGTCACCCTTCATTGCTGGTTTTAACTACAGCGCATACCATTGCTTTTATTAACATATATTCATGATATGTTTTTCCCCTTTGGCCAAAAATCTCTTAAGAGGAGTTAAAGAGAAGTGTCTAAAATAAGGCAATAAATAGTGGCTTGGAGAGAGTGATGAATCTGTGGACTGTATGAATAAGCTGTTAGTCTCTAGCAAAATGGCAGGGTACAACATTTCATAGACTATACCTATCAGAGTTTTGTAGGAAAGACGGGTTAGTGTTGCAAATAGCGGTAGCCCAAGGTTAAATTACTCTTGTAGGGCCGTATGACTTGGATGGAAAGATGAAAATAACCCAGTATTATTCCTAAACAGCATCCAACATCTAGATATTTGCAGAGATTCGTGGAATGGACTAATTATTTTGCTTTTCTTTTGAAACATCTGCCCTCATGAATATGAATTGTTCAGGATTTAAAATGGACTAAAGCATTTCTGGGTTGGCACCAGCTACACACAAGACAGATCAGAGTTGAGTCTTGATTTTCTTTTTCTTACTTGAAAAACATATATCTAAACGATTCCAATAAGACTTTTAATAAGGTTCTGTGTACCTACTGTTGCTTCCCATAGCAAGAATGCCATCCTGGCATGTACGCTAGGAGTAATGACAACAGAACGTCAAAAATGCCTGCAATTTTATCATAGTTTTCCTTTGCTATATATTAAAGCTATACTCAGATGTTTACAAATATACATGTGATTTTTTTTGGAAAGGTGTTATCTTTTTTTTAAGTTAGCTATACATAGCATTTTTACACTAGCTAAGAATACAAGCCAAGCATTCGGTGTATTTTCCACAGAAACTGAAACCTACTTTTATTTTTCTTTTGGTTAGAAGATGTATGTGCTCTCCAGAAAGAGACAGAAAGAGAGGACATGAGAGAGAACCCTATGGGGAGTGGTCAGGACCCAATCCCTTTTCTTCCATTTCTCCCCTCCTTTGAGATTCAGATTTTGGGCGTGTACACACACACACCAGGTTTCTCTGGCTGCCAGGAGTCCAGGAATCTAACCAAAGGGTTAGCCATGTAAGATCCAGCTGCCTTAACCATCAGGCCACAGAGCTGGCCTGATACCTACTTTTAAAATATCTCCCATAGGGGGCCAGTAGGTGGCGTGGTGGTCAAGGTGCTGAACTCCCACATGGCCAACCAGGGTTCAAGTTCCAAACTTGGAGGGTTGAAAATCACGCCCAGGCACTGTGTGTGTGCGCAACCCAGATCCCAAGAGGAGAATGGAGGAGAAAGGATTGCAGTGTGGCCATGCCCTTGGGGGATGATTTCTCACCACCATCTCCCCTTTCTCTCCTGAACACACACACCCTATGGCAAAAACCTTTAAAAAAATGCTTCCGATGATGCAGATGACTCAGGAGTAATAACTGGCCCTGCATTAGCACCTTAGGAGGCCAGTTTGCCCTTTGAAACAGCAAGCCTTGGAGAGTGGATCAGCCTGTTTATGTATCTCTTTTTTTGAATCCTCAGAGCCAGTCTTACTCCCTCTCAGAAGGCAGTCAACAGTTGCCCAAAGGGGACACCCAGGTCTCAGCAGCCGTGCAACCTCTCAGCCACCCACCAGGGAATGGAGAGCCAGAGGCCCCACAGCCCGTAAGCATTTGATTTTCCCCCCAATCATAGTTACGGTGAGGCCGCCTCACCAACCCGATATTTTTCATCCCTGGCCTGTCAGATTGAACCCAACAAACTTTTCCAGCCTGCACATTGCACCATTAAGCATGACTTCCAAGCCAGGAATTTTTTTTTTTTTCTGGAAAATGTGACAATATTTACAGCTACTGTAAATATTAATCTTTTAGCAGCTGGGTTTATGTTTCCAATGGTGTCCCGTTAACAGCCCCCTAGAACCAAGTACATGAGATACCCTTTGGCCACGATGAAATTTCAGAAAGTAAAAAAGCAAATTAACCTGCCTACAAGGATGCGTGTATTCCAAAAGAGTACATGCAAAACGTTCTCAGGGCACCAAAACTTGCCCTCTTAAAGGCCTCAATTATTTGCATTATAAAGTTACTTGAATATGCATAAACTTAAAACTAGAATGCTTAGGGAACCAGCAGTTAGCGTAATGGCTATGTCACTGGACTCCCACGTAGTCGACCGCGGTTCGTGTCCCGGACCCGGTGGCTTAAAACTCACGCCGGGCACGTGTGCGTGCGTGCCCAAGATCCCGAGAGGAGAATGGAGGAGAAGGGATTGTGGCATGACCATCCCCCCTGGGGGGTGATTTCTCGCTTTCTGTCTCTATGTCTCTCTCTGTCTGTCTGGCGAGCGCACGCGCCCTATAGCGAAAAACCTCTCAAAAAAAAAAAAAACTAGAATGCTTAATACTTTTGAAGTAACTACATAATCCAAATAAATTTAAAAATTAAATACCAACAAAATGCAAATCAGCAATATTTAAATGTATGCTTTCATTTAATGTAAACAACGTTATTTAGTTGAGACGAAATCGCTATACCCAATGGAAGATAGTCTTGATTGCCATAATGGTGAATTTGTTTGAGTCTTAGCAAGTCATGTGACTTCTTAGCTCTTCTATCATATTTCTCTACTTGATCTACGGAGAAACTTTCATTTGTAAGGCTCCTTATACTACCTTTGGGCCTCCTCTTAGCCCAAACACATGATTTTTCAATTATTCCTCCTTCTGTCTATGTTCTTTTCTGGAGAGGTTTTTTTGCTGTAGGGCGTGTGCACTTGCCAGAGAGACAGAGAGAGACAGAGAGACAGAAAGCAAGAAATCATCCCTCAGGGGGGATGGCCACGCCACAATCCCTTCTCCTCCATTCTCCTCTTGAGATCTTGGGCACGTACACACACGTGCCCAGCGTGAGTTTAAACCACCAGGTTCGGGACTCGAACCGTAGTCGACTACATGGAAATCCAGCAACATAGCCATTACGCCAACTGCTGATCCCTTGTCTATCTATCTATTCTTTTATCTTTAGCCTGCAACAATGGCTGTGTGACTGTTTAGCATATAAAGCATCTATATGTACAAACTGGGTCATGGGCCAGCACTGGGTCTCATCCTGATGATTTAATGTACTTTATATTAATTTTAAGTTATTACTAGTATCAAATATATGATTTTAAAGATCTCCTTAAAAAGTTTTGAATCTCCAAGAATATGTTTAACATTAGGGTCTACAGATCACTATTTGACAAATACTGTTGTAATTCCAGGAGAATACTGGCTAGGAAATAGCATTTTCCAAAAGTATTGGGACCAGAATTGTAGCCAATCCTGAACTTTTATTTATTTACTTTTATTTATTTCATGACTTCTCCCATGTTTTCCCCCTTCATTAATGATTTCTTAAAAATTCAGAAGACGGGGAACCAGCAGTTAGCGTAATGGCTATGTCGCTGGACTCCCACATAGTCGACTACAGTTTGCGTCCCAGACCTGGTGGCTTAAAACTCACGCCGGGCGCGTGTGCGTGCGTGCCCAAGATCCCGAGAGGAGAATGAAAGAGAAAGGATTGCGGTGTGACCATCCCCACTGGGGGGTGACTTCTCGCTTTCTGTCTCTATGTCTCTGTCTTTCTGGTGAGCGCATGTGCCCTATAGAGAAAATCCTCTCCAAAAAAAAAAAAAAATCAGAAGACTTAATGTTTGGGACTAACTTACTGGGAACGGCAATAACAGAGACAGTTGGAACCATCTGCTTAATCACACCACATACAAAGATTTCCTTAGCCTAAAGGTTATCTCCTTGCACTCAATAAGTTTCGAAGGTAGGGTGAGCACAGACAGAAAAGCAAGACCTCCAAAGAATATGCTTCATTTAGCTAGATAGCACTTCAGATCTATTCTAATGTATGGATTCTTTTCAAGAGAATCTCTGTCTAGCAGGAAAAAAGAGAAGAGCATTGAAATTACTTTCTCATAAGAGAGGACTGTAAATACAGGCAGAAGAGGGAGTAAGTTTTGGGGAAACCCATGGAAAATGGATGGAAATGATCATAAACTCAAAAGAAGCAATGATTTCTGAAAAATTATTCACAGGGCTAATGAACAGGCCCTAGAATGAATCACATACAGCCTTGCTACTCCAAGTGCGGTCCCTGGACTAGGACCTGCTTCCATGTTGCCGGGCACTTGTTAAAAAAGCAGAATTTTGAGGGAGGGACCAGCAGACGGCATAATAGTTACATCGCTGGACTCCCATGTAGTCGACTGTGGTTCGAGTTGACCCAGCAGCCTAAAACTCACGCCAGGCAGATATGCATGCATACCCAAAATCTGACAGGAGAATGGAGGAGAAGGGACTGTGGCATAGCCGTCCCCCCTGGGGGGTGATTTTTTGCTTTCTGTCTCTGTCTCTCCTGAGAGTACACACATACCCTATAGCAAAAATCTGCCTCTTAAAAAAAAATGCAGACTTTTTGGCTGCCCAGAAGTGTTAAATCACAGTCTGCATTTTAACAGATCCTCAGGTGATCCGTGAGTACATTAAAGTCTGAGAGGCACTGGACTGGGGGACAAGTCCTCCAACTTGCTAGCGTACTAGAATTGCTTGGGGAGTTCTAAAAACCACTGATTCCTGGGTTCTGTTCCCAGTGAGTCTGAATGAATTGGTCTGGTGTTGTCCTAAGCATAAGGATTTGTAAGTGCTTCCCAGGGGCATTCTGATGTGCAGCAGAGTTTGAGAAACACCACCGAACCAGAACTATCATGAACCTTCTAAGAATAGCTCTGCACACCGCTGACAAAAACAGCTGTCACTGAGTGTGCCTGTAAATGAAACCCAACTCGTAAAAGCTAGAACATCTGTTCAGAGAGCTGTCACGGTGTTTGTGAACATGCCAAGCTTATGCCTTGCTTATGCCAATATTTAGCCAACATAAACATTGTCTAAAATGGAGAACAGCTTGGGATTCATGACCAGCAACACCAGGCAAGCTCAGGTGAAACTGCACCCGAGACGCTTGGGAGCTGGAGACAGGTGAGGTATAAGTTCAGACTCCTGAGAAAAAATGGGAGGCTTTGGTTGTAGGTAAAAATGGGACTGGGAATTTAGTATAAAAGGAAGTATAGGAGGGATCAGCAGATGGCATAGCAGTTATGTCGCTGGACTCCCATGTAGTCAATCATGGTTTGAGTCCCGGACCCAGCAGCTTAAAACTCACACTGGACGTGTGTGTATGCATGCCCAAGATCCCAAGAGGAGAATGGATAAGGGATTTCAGTGTGGCCATCCTCCCAGGGGAAAATTTCTTGCTTTCTGTCTCTCTGGCAAGCACATGCGCCCTATAGCAAAAATATATCTCTCTCTCTCAAAAAAATAGAAGGAAGCATAGTCTTACTTTTTTAAGAATTACTTTATGTAACTTTAGGTATTTACTTTAATCTGACCAGAGAGGGACACAGAGAGAGAGAGAACGAGGGAAGGTGAGAAAGCAAGCCGCCAGGTCCAGGACACGAACCGTGGTCAGCCATGTGGGAGTCTAGCACTCTTAACCACCATGCCACCTGTCGACCCCAAGGAAGCACAGTCTTAAGCAAGAATATGCATTTGACTGTAATCCCAAACCCAAAAGAACCACAGTGAGCCCTGAGAAACTCTCTAGCATGTGTAGTCATGCCTCCCTTATCAGGACATCTTTTGGGACACCACCATGAGTAAAAGGGGAAACACAAAGGACTTCTGATGTCCAGACATGCCCTGCACTTCCGCCCACCCTCTTCCTTTCAAGACAAGTCTCCCATTCAAAGTCTAGCTGTATTTCAGACACAATTACATAATCTTGGCTCTTGGGGGATTTTCTTGTTTATAGTAGATAAAAAGCAGCTTATGGCAGATGCGGAATGGTAAGAACACTGCCAGGAACATGCACATGCAAACTGAGACACTGATGCAAGAATCCCAAAGCCCTGGCAGCCTGGAGCACTTAGCATGGGGCGGAATCGTGTCCAGCCCTGCGGTTCTTGCTGCCTGCATGAACCTCTGCTCTGCAGCACAGCCACAAGTGACGGGGCAACTCCCAGGCATAATGGGAACAACTGGAGATTTAAATGTGACTTCTGACCGGCATCGTCGGCCTGCAGAGATGCCCGGATGGTGGCATCGAAAGCCTACTTAGCGCCACACCCCATCCCCAGTCTCTCCGCCCAGTGCAACCCAGAGACCTGCCCCCTTCTGCTCCTTCTGCATTGTGAAAAGGCAGCTGAGAAAAGAATCCTTTGCTAGCACAGAGGAAGGACACTCTTCTCATCTTTGCAATCGATCTTTCAATTCCAATTCAGTTCAACATATTTTTTTACAGAAACTACCATGAGCCAGGTACTGTTTGAGGCTCTATGGATAAAAAGTAGAATAAGACTAAAGACCACAGTTCATGCATTCAATAGCTCACAGTCTAGGGAGGGAGGCAAATAAATATAAGATCTGTGATGGATTGGCCAACAGAATCTGCCCCTTGTAACCGAGTTCAGACATAGGACACTGGAGGGAGTGAGTCTGCACTGGAGAAAGGGGTAGACGCATGGGCCAGTTGGTGGTGTGGTGGTTAAAGCAGCTTGATTCCACATGACTGACTGTTTGGTTCAAGTCCTGGGACTTGACAGCTTGAAAAACAGTC